AGACCGACGGATGCGACGATGAAAGCACCCCGAGACGGTGAGATGTATAGCTCGTCATTCTTCGCGTATCTTGTAGATAGGGTAGAGGATGTCGAGCGTTGCAACAGAGGCTCTCTGTCCGTCGAACCGTTTGATATGGCCATAGCGGGTAATCAGGGAGGCAGTTTACATGAACAAAAGATGATGGGCGAAGATGGATAGGGACAAAGATAAGTACATTACGGAAAGCAAGGCGTTAAAAGTCGTAATCATAATGATCCATACGAACGTGCATGGATGCTAGTGTCAAGATGGATTACAAATGCGGCATCAAGTCGATTACCGGCCCCTGCACGCAGGCTTTCGTCCGCAAAGATAGGAACATGGCGGTTCGATCCGACGGACTGAAACTGAAAGCTGATTTGAATCCCAAGGATGAGAGACGGGCGAGTGTGCAAGGGAGAGGCCAAGCAAGCGCCAGGCACCGTTGCAGCGTGTTGGCCATGCGACATGTGTAATTAAGGTGACGTCAACGCTCATTGGCCAGACACGGCAGCGGAGCACGACTGCCACCCGAGCGTCGATAGTGGAAAGCTGGCCTCTACAGACAACTTCACCACGACTGCGTCAAGTAGTCGCACTCCTGCTCTCTGTCAGACGACATGCCGCGATGAGTTTCTTTCTTCCCACTGTCTTTCTTTCCAACCAATACCCACAATGAGGCCACGCCTTCTGCGGCTCGTGCCGCTTCTGTTCGGTATGCATACACGCATGCGACACAGGTAGCCTCCGACTGACCACCAGACATGCAGTTCTTCTTTCGATATGTCTGACCGTATACTCACGATCCGATCTGGACCAAGAGGCAGACCATGCCTACCAGAAACCCCTCGGTGCAGGGCAAACATCCGGCAGCCGTGGCCCACCAGGGCAGAGCAAAGAGGCCTGGAAGTCAAGATGGGGAAATACCGAAGATGAGGGTGTGAACGCGCATCAGGGAGCCTTGGCCTTTGATGAGGCCATGGCTCTTCTCCGCCAGATCAAACCCGCAACAGCACCCTGGTGGAACTTTGACAAGAAATCCGGTATACTGGGCGCAAGCGCATACTACGCCAAAGAAGTCTTCTTCCTCCTCTTCATGAACGGACCTTCGCAGCAGGAACTCTTGACCACGAACCCGCAACCGAGAAAACTTGGGCAGCCGCTCTCCCAAGCTGTCACGCTACTCGAAGAGGCCGCCGCGGAGAACAACCCCGACGCACTGTTCATGCTCGCCGAAATGAACTTTCACGGCAACTATACACATCCGCGCAACTACTCTGAAGCCTTTCGACGCTACCATGAGCTCGCCACCCTGACTGGAAACGCCTCAGCACAACACATGGTTGGCTTCATGCATGCAACAGGCATAGGTCGGGCAGTCAAGCAAGATCAGGCCAAGGCGCTTCTGTACTACACCCTTGGTGCTGAAGGTGGCGATATACGGTCAGAAATGGCCGTCGCATACAGGCATTCGGCTGGCATATCCACCCCGCGTAACTGCGAGGAGGCCGTATACTTTTACCGGCAAGCTGCCAGAAAGGCTGTTGCATACATGCGATCCGGACCACCGGGCGGACACTCTATGCCGAGAGAGTCTTACAACATTGCTGACGATCAGGGTGGTGTGTACGGTGATGGCGCAAGCGCAAGTAGTTCTGGACCCAACGCCAAAGTGGCCAGTGTTCAATCAGACGCCTTCTCCTCATTAGACGATGTGTTCGAATACATGGATCTTCAGGCCCGCAAAGGCGACGCCAGAGCTACTTTCAACCTTGCAAAGCTAAACTATGATGGTGCACGAACTCTAAAGCGCGACCTTCCAGCTGCCAAGAAGCGATTCCTGGAGCTTGCTCGCATGTACTGGACGCCGGGTGGAAAAACAAACGCCAATGTCTCGCCAACCACCGAGAAGCTCGCTGCGAAAGCCGCTGGATACCTTGGTCGAATGTTCTTGCGGGGCGAGGGAATGACCCAGAGTTTTGAGATTGCAAAGACGTGGTTCAGGCGCGGCATCGAGCTCGGAGATGCGCTATCACAGTACTCCATGGGCATCATGTATCTCAAGGGGCTCGGCGTGCCACAAGATCCTGTCAAGGCTGCAGAGCTATTTGGCGCCGCAGCCGACCAGGATCTCGCAGTTGCTCAAGTCAGACTTGGAGCACTGTTCTTGGATCAAGGAGACGTCTCCACTGCTATCAAGTACTTTGAGCTCGCAGCTAGACATGGACATCTCGAAGCCTTCTATTACCTGGCTGAGATGACGCATACCGGTGTTGGCCGTGACAAGTCGTGTCCTGTGGCAGCTGCGTACTACAAGCTAGTCGCAGAGAAAGCCGAGCTCGTGTCGACTTCTTTCCCAGAAGCCAACGAAGCTTATGCGAACGGCGATCTAGAAACAGCACTTGTCAACTACATGTTGGCAGCTGAACAAGGTTTCGAGGTCGGACAAGCCAATGTCGCCTATCTTCTTGATCAGGCCAAACCGCGATTCACGTTCGACTCTCTGTTGCCCTTTGTGAAGCAAAAGGCTACACTAGCCAGCGATGCTTTCTTGGCCTTGGTCTACTGGACACGCTCTGCCGAACAGAAAAATGTCGACTCCATGGTCAAAATGGGAGACTACTACCTTATGGGCATTGGAACGCAACCTGATCAAGAAAAGGCAGCGGCTTGCTACCAAGCAGCGGCAGAGACGATGCGAAGCGCACAGGCACTGTGGAACCTTGGCTGGATGCATGAAAACGGGATTGGTATCGACCAGGACTTCCATCTCGCAAAGCGACACTACGACTTGGCATTGGAGACGAATCCCCGTGAGGCCTACCTACCCGTTCTATTGGCCTTGTACAAATTGAGATTCCGAAGTTGGTGGAACACGTTCACGAATGGTAACATCAAGTCTATCCAGGAAGAACCAGGTATGTCACGACTTACCATTCAAACCATCATTCCCTCGATGCTAATGTGTCATAGTGGTCAAGAAAACCTGGACTCTTTCAGAATGGCTTAGCGCGTTCCTTGAAGCCGAACTTGCTGGCTGGGACGACTACGAGCCCGACGACTATGACGATGGAGGCGATGATTTCTACGGGGACGGTTATCACGGCGATGACATAGACTCGGACATACTCGAGTCACTCATCATCTTGGCTCTAAGTGGAGCTTTGGCATTTCTTCTCTATTACCGAACACAAAGACAGCGCAGACAGGAAGAAGAACGAAGACGACAGCAGGAACAGGAAGCGCAGCTGAATCAAGGTATTCCAATACCCCAACAGCAGCAGGCACAAGCAGAGCCGCAGCAAGATAGAGGTCTTTTTCCCAACCCTAATGACCCAGAATTCATGAATTGGGTTGCAGGAGGAGTGGGACATTAATGTCAAGTTAGTGTAAACTAAAGCATGAATGGCGTTTTGTTGGAAGGGCTTTAGGTTCTATATTATATACATGAATAGCGGCAATCGGCGTAATCCAGGTGCTCGCAAGCAACATACTTCGTATAAAATCGTTTTTTAAAGTTACAGCTCCATCAAAATGCTAGTGAATGTTTGGTCGTGTGATGTGTTTGAATTTCCTGCTCCTTTGTGTCCCTCGTTCTCGGCAATCATGTTTATTTATTTCTTCTTGCGGGAAATGAGGTGCTGGTTTATTTTTCGACATTTGTGCTTGGTGTGTGTTTGAATTGTTGGAGTATCAGTCAAGTATGACACTTTTCTACTTCTTCACGTGCATAACCTAAAATGCAATTTGCATGATTGTTACTCGTCTTATTTGGCTCTCTCAGCTGCTTGACTTGCCAGACTAAAAAGACTCAATTTATGCAATACAAAAGTAGTCAGGTCGATGTTTGCTGCTTGGGCGATTGGGATATAGGACACTGGTATACGGAGAGAGGTAGTTCGGAAGTCATTTCTGCAAATTCCAGGAGGCAGACACAGTCTATTAATTGGTGTTGCAGCTTCGCGCTTCTCTAAATTTCTCTGCTTGTTTGATATCCTAACGGGCTCATCCTCTAGTGACGAGATTGGAATCACATTGATCACAACAGCGTGATAGTCATGTAGCGCACAATCAATCGACGGTGCACTCATCGAAGCACTCCAAGTGTCACGAGCATATGTTTTGTTTACTGTGGCGGCTGTACATCCTTGTACATGTTCAATCCCGACGAGTTGGTAAGTTGTGTTCTTGCAGTAAACATAATGTTTCTTGTAATATGTGATTACGAATGTTTTATCATGGCCGAATGTGACTCATTACTAAGGGGGGAAAAACTAGAAACAAGAAGATGAGCGAGCATAGACCAGGATGCTGCTGACATCATAGTATCTGAAACGAAGGAAATGGAATTTTAAATACGATGAGATTTCGTTTCCTAACATGAGTCTGTACCAATACATTATTGAACATATCCTGATAGCAAAACTACGTTAGATCAACTACACCCGATTATTAGTATCACTTGGATTATATTGCTTTCATGATTCTTGCAATGGTGGTGGGGAGAAGATTAAATTTGCTTGAAACTACATACTGTTCATGTACGTATCGTAAGTCTATAGGGTTGTCTTCGTCCGAAGTTCAAAACAAATCCAATCTGAAAAAAAAAGAAATCCTCAGTTTGGACCCTGTAATTGATCTGCGGACACGGATGGCGCTTATCATATCGGGATCATCTCATCATGAACATCGGCAGTGATGATATAGCTCGTCCAGATGTGCACGTATGCAAGTTTCTAAACCGGTCTCGAATTATGTATAGGCTTATGGTATCGACCATCAATCTCCCGAGGTAATTGATGTCATTGTAGGACAAAGGAATCATAATGCTCGGTGGCTGGGGCGGAGATACCGGGGTGGTGTTGAGTCCGGACTTCGGCAGCTTGTCAGCAAGCGATGACGTTTGCTTGGCATTAGCTCACCACGAGCGCAAGCTCAGTACCTCAATCACGTCTCGTTTTCCCTCCCGCACCTCAATTACTCCTCATTCACGCCTCTTGCCATACCAATTCGTCTCGCCATGTTCGCCAGACAGGTTTTCCGCCCGGCCAGGACGCTGCACCAGGTATGCGCCAGCTTTCTCTTCAATTTGCGCATTACAAATACTCTCAGTCTTCGGCCAAATACTAATGTGTGAGACCAGCAAGTCCGCCGATATGCATCCGAGGCGCCCAAGAGCGGCGGCAACAATGGTGTTCTTTACACAGGAATTGGTGCTGCTGGTCTTGCAGGTGCATACCTGTTCTTGAGGGGTGGTGATTCACCATCTGGGCAGAAGGGCAATGCACCTCCGTCAGAGGAGGCCAACAAGATCCCTTCTTCAACCGGTGGCCCTGCTAAGAAGGCTTTCACCGGAGGTGACCAAGGCTTCCTGTCGCTTGTATTGGACAAGTCTGAAATTGTCAACCACAACACCAAGAAGCTTACCTTCAAGCTGCCTGAGGAGGACATGGAGAGCGGTCTGCCTGTAGCTTGTATGTCCACCTTGAACAAACATGTAGAAGCTCACTGACTCTATATAGCTGCCGTTATCACCAAGTACAAGGGTCCCGAAATGCAGAAGCCCGTCATTCGACCGTACACTCCCATCAGCGACGTAGACCAGAAGGGTACAGTGGATTTCATCATCAAGGCTTACCCGAACGGACCTATGTCGGAGCACATGCACAGCATGGAGCCTGGCCAGCGACTGGATATCAAGGGACCCATTCCAAAATTCCAATGGTCACCCAACAAGTTTGAGCACATTGCGCTGATTGCTGGTGGAACTGGTATCACTCCCATGTGGCAGACAGCACGCGCCATTTTCCGCAACCCCGAGGACAAGACCAAGGTGACGCTCGTATACGGCAATGTGACTGAAGAGGACATTCTGCTCAAGCGCGAGTTTGAAGAGCTGGAGAACACTTACCCCCAGCGATTCCGGGCATTTTACGTCTTGGACAACCCACCAGAGTCGTGGCAAGGCGGCAAGGGATACATCACCAAGGAGCTTCTCAAGACTGTGCTTCCTGAGCCAAAGGAGGGAGAGAAGATTAAGCTGTTTGTTTGCGGACCCCCCGGCATGTACAAGGCCATCAGCGGTGGCAAGAAGAGCCCGTCTGACCAAGGCGAGCTTGACGGCTACCTGAAGGAGCTTGGCTACAGCAAGGACCAGGTGTACAAGTTTTAGAAGCGTGTATACATACATACATACATATATATATATATATATATGCATGGCATGGGGCATAACGGGGTTTACTTGACTGCAGATCCGGGGGTCGGGGATCAGAGCAGAGCAAGCACAGCTGTGTCTATTGTGGGCCGCTATTTGTGCCAGCCAAAAGATGCAGAGTGTTTTGCAGCACATGGAGGCCACCTTTGCACGTCAGAAGCGTATAGATTCTATCTTGAGACTTGAAAGATATCCTAGCATGTTAATACACCGATTTCATCAAGACGAGACTGTCCCTTGCTCCTTTTACGGCGCAGCAGAGTGTATTTGAGTATGAACTGATTGATTTAATCCTGGTACACGCAATGATCGTAGCCCACCCACGAAAGCATCAATGTAAGTCTTAGGCTAACAAAAGCCTGAGGACGAAATCCGTCTCACATGGCCCAAGTTGCAACGATTCCAACGTTTTTGCCTAAACGGTTGCTTTCGCATGACTTGGAAACCGTAGATCGGGGCTAGTCATTGGATGTTCTCTGGCTTGGGAGGGGTGGGGGAACGAACTGCAAACTAGAACTTTGCATTAATCAAAAAAAAAAATGCAAGCGTATTACTTTATATGCTGCTCCCCAGCCCAGTGCGTGCGTCAATGCCCGGGGACGATTTTGAGGGCGCGGGGGGGAACACCCTGGAAATGATGCAACCAGGCACACACAAAACGTCAAGGGTGCTTATGCTTTGAGATTGTTTCCAGCCCATGACACAAGGGGAGGGAAAGCTAATTATGTGGTCCTGGGGTGTTTGCGATTGCCGATCAGGCAAAGTGTATAGTAGCGTTACGAAAAGACGCAGGAACCCACCACCGCCGTTTTTATACATGCTAATTGTAGCGCTAGCAATGTGTGAGGGGAGACGGCATGTCCGTCTCTGCTTTCTTGCCACAGTAGGTCTGGCAAAGGGTATGGCTGTGATTTGCCTTCACATACTGGCATACTTGTCGTGACTGGACTTGACCTTCATGTCCAAGGCAGTCTCGTAAAAGTTTCCTTGGGCCCTTGCTCTGCGCAACTTCTTGACTTCGGCATCATCCAAACGGCGCCCGATTTGGTCTTCTAGCTCCTTGCGGCTAATCTTGACATTTGCCTTTTCTTCCTTGTTTGCCTTGAGGCGCGGCTTGAATCGCGCCTGCATGCGTATACGCAGCGTAGTTGTGAAGTCAATATGTTCTGTGTCGCCGCGTAGCTCGGGGCCAGCCTTGGAGTCGCGAGCGCTGACAAACTTGTCGCGTGCAGTTTGGAGCGAAAATGCAGAGGCATTGTCGGGCACGGGGACGGCGAGAAAGGTTTCTTCTGGGGAAATTGCCGTTGCAGTCGCGCTCAAGACGCCAAACTTGTCGCAGCTAAGGTATCTAGAAAGCGTGTAAGCCAATTGCCGGTACATGGAGGGGTCAGAGTCTAGAATGCCCAGGACTTTGTCGTCTTACCTGCCGTGGTGGCCTTTCAAACTTAACTGCTCAGTACCTGCGACGCGAGTCGCGACAAACACCTGACGCACATCATGCGGTTCGGCGGTTGCAGCGTCGCCGTCGACAATGTTTTCTAGATCGCTAGCAAACACCTTACCATTTGCGTCGCATGCTAGGCAGGCGGGTTTGTCGGTGGGAAGGACTATGAGGACGGGTCCAGAGATGTCGGTGGGCGCATCCGCGCTCACCCAAGAGTCGTCATTCTCAGCTTCTGCAGGGGCGGTGGGCGTGACTTTGTTCGAGTGGACGTTGTCGGCATCGTATGGCTCTGCGGCCTTTCTGCGCTTCTTGACTTTTTTGTCACCCTTGAAGTGGAGGGCTTTTGGCATGTTTGCGGTCCTGGGTCGAGGGATTAGGATGCGGCGTCGGAGGTGAGAGATCGGAGTTGGCCGAGGCTGGCGCAAATCAGGCAGGTCCAAGTCGAGATTCTGGGTTAGGCTTGCACCACTTGTGCGCTACCAAGACGACGATAAAGTGTCAGAGTCAACGACGTAGTGCATGGTCATTGTGGAATACCAGAGTATTCTTTTGTGAAGCAATCACTATGGCCAACGCTAATGCTGCCGTGAACCAGAGCGCTGTCGCTGTTGGACTGGATGCTCTGAAAAACAGTAAGTAGTGGTGGTGGTGGATGCATTGTTCACAGTGGTAGGCAGCCGTTGCTGATGTTGGCATTGCAGATGATGTCGAGTTTGCATTACTCGAGGAAGCGTTTGGCCCCGCGAGTCTAGGAATCATTGTTGTAAAGGATCTCCCGTCCCGATTCCATGATCTGCGCCACCGGCTGCTCTCGTATGCATCTGCTCTTGGAAACCTGTCTCAGGACGAACTGGGTAAGCATAGACGCTCTGTATCTGGTTGAGTTTCAAGCGAGCTGATTGTGTGTCTTAGCAAAGCTTGAATCGCCCGCTTCCAAGTGGCTGGTTGGATGGTCATGTGGGAAAGAGACGCTCAAGGATGGCAAATACGACACTCTAAAGGGTTCATACTATGTCAACTGTGCGCCCGGGTTTGAAGGGCAGCAAAAGGCAGTGGCGGAGAAATACCCGTCGTTCCCCGAGTACACAGCACCCAACGTGTGGCCATCGGAGCAGCTGCTGCCAGGCTTCGAGGAGACGTTCCGCGAGCTATGCACGCTGATCATTGACATTGCAGCACTGGTTGCGCGGGCATGCGACAAGTACGCCGAAGCGAACATTGAAGGCTATCAAAAGGGGTACCTCGAGCATGTGGTCAAGACAAGTGTTTCGACAAAAGCGCGGCTGCTGCACTATTTCCCCAGCCCCGCATCTGGCTCGGAGATTTCGAACGGGGATGAGGATGACTGGTGTGCGACGCATCTCGACCATGGGTGCCTCACCGGGCTGACATCGGCCATGTTTGTGGATGAGGGAGCGAATGTGCCGCGAGCAGGCGCATCGTTTGCACCCCTTGAAGAGCTTGAGCGATCGCCGGACCCCAAGGCAGGCCTATACATTCACTCGCGCACGGGCGCCGTGACCAAGGTCAGCATCCCACGCGACTGTCTAGCCTTCCAGACCGGCGAGGCGCTCGAGATCATCACGCACGGCAAGTTCAAAGCGGTGCCTCATTTTGTGCGGGGCGCGGGAGCTGGAGCTGGGGGTGGAAAGGTTGCGAGGAACACACTGGCCGTGTTTACGCAGCCCAACCTGTGGGAGAAGGTGGACGACAAGCGGGACTTTGCAGCATTTGCAAAGGAGATTGTTGAGAAGAACCACTAGCGGGCATGTGTGTAGTGTACATGTGCAGCTGTAAGCTAGGCGTGGAAGCATGTACTGTACTGTATGTATGTATGTATGTATGTAGTATGTAGGTATGCATATAGGTAGGTATGCATGTACGTACAGTACCAGTACACGTACTCCATGTCGCCTAGAGTAGCAAGCATGAATAAGAAAGCAAAGCAAAGCAAGCCAAGGCAAATGACATCAGGCGTCGATCGGGCAAGCGGACGACGTTACGAGGGGTAGCGGGTGTAGAGTAATTAGAGGGATGGATAGAGTGGACGGGCCCCAAGGCGAAGGCATGGCATTGTTGGGTTGGCCAAAGCGGCATGGAGGGGGTGGGAGATGGCGTAAGACAGGGGCGCTAGGGCGGCAGGGTGATGGGCAGGGCGGGGTTGGCAGTGGACAGGGAGAGGCATGGCAGAGCCGCAGGCGTGCAGAGCCTCATTTCAGATAGGCTGCTGGGGACATTGCAGCAACGCGTCCCGGGTGCGTACGTGTGGGTAGTGGGAGGGTAGCGGGTGGAGGGAGTGTGTGTCGCCTGGCGGGCACAGGGGCCATATTGCGCGGCCTTGGGTGCACGTAAAACAGCGGCTGGCGTGCAATCTACTGCGACGATGCCGCGCCCGAGCAGCGACTGTGGCTCAACGTGTCGTCTCCGCGCCACATGCCGGACTGGGCGCCATGCACACGACCAGCGCCCACACCCACGCCCACACCCACACCCACACCGACTCGTCCATGGCAGCGGGCGGAGCTGGGCGGGCCGGGCGCCCGGTCGGCCATGGGGCGGGCGCTGGGCTGCTGAGATTGCACTGGGCGGAAGTCGGCACGGCGGACAGGCGAAGGCGTCCTCACCCAGCCCTCGACTGCGTCTTGGTGCAGCAGCGGCAGCGGCAGCAGCAGCCAACAGACACCGCCACATGCGGCGCCCGACTGCCAAGCCACTTGCCCTGCCTGAAACCAGTGGGGGCGTCGTGCTCTCGCGCCCAGCCTTTATGACGCGGCCACCCATGCACGCCCGGCGCTTGTGCTCCTTTCAGCCCCACAGCCAATGACACGGCCGTCCCGTTGCTGCTCCTGCTTGACAGATCGATATCGCGCCAAGCACTCCCATCCGAGAAGCCGTCTTCGCATGGGCGAACTTGCTCCATCCCTGGTGATGCGTTTAACTTCCTTCTTGGTCGGCCCAAGTCCACCCCAATGCAGATGCTATAGTCGCCGCCAGTCGCTCTTTTTTTTCCTTGCCTTCTTCTCTCGTTTCCTTACCACCCCGACTGACGCCCTCGCTATTTCTTCCCTGGGCTCCCACTCCCCCCTCGCCACTCTGCCCACGCCCTCTGCATGCACATGTCTTTCATCGCAAAGGCCCCGTTGTCGCTCGCTCGCTCCACCATCTCCAGCCTTGCGACTCCCCTTGAGCCCGCCGCTGGTCCAGGCAAGATGGCTTCCAGCAACCGCCAAAATGTTACTTGGGTAGAGGTATGCACTCCAATTCTCCCTGCTTGTCCCTGTCGTCCCTCTGACATCTGCAGGGTGTTCGTGGCGTCGCTTCCTTCTGGGTCGTGGTAACACACTTGTGCCGAGCCTGGGACTACAGCCTCTGGTCGCCGCGCGACAACGAGAACGCAGCGCCCCAACTGCTACAACTCCCTTTTATCCGTTTGCCCTTCCAGGGCCGTATTGGTGTCACCATGTTCGCCTTTCTCACCGGATACGTGTGCGCCATCAAGCCTCTCCGCCAGGCAAAGTCTGGCAACATTCCAGCAGCCTTGGAAACCCTGGGCAAATCCGCCTTCCGCCGCCCACCCCGACTCATCATGCCCGCCACAATCGCCCTCGTCATCGCCTGGTTCTTCGCCCAGCTGGGAGCCTTTGAAATCGCCCACCTCAGCGACTCGCACTGGTTCCGACGCTCTGTCCCTACCAACATCGGCAGCCTCGACACCGAGATCCCACGACTGATCAGGAACTTCCAGACATCTTGGTCTGGCGCAAACAACGAGTACGACGACCACCAATGGGCTCTTCTGCCTCTCCTCCAGGGTGCCTTTCTCATCTACATCCTCCTGTTCGCCACCGTCTTCATGAAGTTCCGCATGCGTCTCTTCACCTGCGTTGTCCTGTTCTTCTGGTACTGGATGCGCACGAGCCCAGAAAAGGGTAGGTCATATCTGGCTCCCGCACCCCAGCTTGCAGCTAACGAATTCTAGAAACTTTTGAGTGCCAGTTCCTCTACGGTGTTATCCTTTGCGACCTCGGCTCAGAAAAGGGCTTCCGTGACTTTGTCAACAACCGCGTCAAGGCCCGTCGATTCGCCACCGCCTTCCTCATCATTCTCGGCTGGTATGTGGCGTGCTTCCCCGGAGAGCACTGGGAGTGGGCAGCCTGGTCTGTCCAGCTCAAGAACATCGGAGACTGGATCATTCCTCAGGGCGCCGCAAGCTACCCCAAGCGCTTCACCGCTATTGGGTGGGATCTCATGGTCACTGGAATCTGGCTTTCGCCTTCTCTGCAGAGCCTCTTCTCCAACAAGCTGTTCATGTGGGTTGGCCGCAATAGTTTTGCCGTCTACCTGACCCACGGAACCGTCATGAAGGTTGGACTTGCACGACTGATCTATGGATTCAGCACGGCCCCATACCATGTCGAGCAACCAAAGGACGGCCAAGGCGAAGCCATTCACCACTACATTCCCAGGACCACCAACTGGCTCGTCTGGACACTAGCAATCCCCCTCTTTTTCGTTGTCGAGTACACGATCGCTCATCTCTGGATCACCTACGTCGACTCACAGTGCGCCAAGGCGACCAAGTGGCTCGAGGATACCATGTTCGAGAAGAGCGAGGACGAGAAGCACGGCGCTGCAAACATGGCGTAGATAGCCATGGACGATTCACCCACCAAGCATGCATAATCAAGCAATAACGGGTACGCCGATCGGAGCAACAAACGAGAACCTCCGGTCCGGTCCCGTACCAGTTACCAAGTTTTCCTAGTCTTCTTTTTCATTTCTGTCAGGGTAACGATTTCTTTTGTTCAGGGTTTCCCCAACATCTACGGATACCAGTTTTTTTTCTATCGCATATGGCATTTTCAAGGAGTTTTTTCTTTCTGGGGCAACTGTGTTGAAAACATGGCATGTGCATAGGGCCTACAGGAGCCAGCGTTCGGTGTGTCGCAGCCATGAAGACGATCGGCGTGTTGTATTTTGAGAAGCGTGTCCAAAGCCCGCCAAACTATCTAGTAATTCAACCACCAAAAACACAGCAAAAACTAGCCGCGTGCATTGTGATGTCATTTCTATGTTTGTGGTGCTAGCTCCAGTGCATTGAACAGTGACTTTGTCTGCTCCAAGGCGGATATCGGCATCGGCATCACTGGCGAAAGTTTAATAACACACAAGCAACGCATCAGAACCACAGTCACCGCTAGGGTAGCCACATGACCATGCATCGCGTTGTCACGCAGCCTTGCCTTGCATAAACATTTACCAACATCCCGCGTCCCCACCCGCCATACATAGGTCAACAAACAAATCAAGAAAAAAACAGACTTCTTCTCCATCGCGGTCCATGTGAAGATATGCCCAATGACGTCGTTTGCGGCAGAACGCCACACACACATACACACACACACACACACACTTGCCTATTTCGACTTTCAAAACTTGCCGTCTTGCGCCTTGGAAGATGCACCCACTAAACTCGGAATAGTGATGCACCACCCACCCATGATCCTCATCACAAGGTCTGGCCCGGCCAGCACCAGCCCCATCTCACATCCAAATAAAGAAAATCATGTTTTTGATCTGAAGAAATCGGGATAAGAGAAAGAAAGAGGAAAAACAACAAGACAGTACCAGCATGACAACAAAAAGTGCTGGCTCCATCAGACACATCGAAAAAAAGATGCTAGTAAGTACTATACTTGGTCCTTCTTTTTTGAATCCCCAACTCAGCCACTTGTCTGCCCCCCCCCCCCTCCCACCTCCTTCTCCGCTCCTTCCCCATGTATCCATCATCCCATTTCTCAGTCGCAAAGTCATCGTCCGCAACCCGCCCCGCCGCCCAACGCGCGCGCCGCTCTAAGAAAAGCAAAAAAAAATAACACGCACACAGACTAAACTTGCCTACAAGCCTAAAATAAAAATAGGATTTGCTTGTTGGACCAAAACAAAAAAGAGCGGTACCGAGTAAAGTGCCAAGAAACGTGCTCCAAGTACTACTCCAACTGTCTTTTCTTTTCTTTTTGCATTCTACTACTCTGTTTTCTGTGATAACTTGGATGGATGATTTCCTTCGGATGCCGCTAGACATGGGTGGGGGAAGACCAGGTCTTGGCGATATTTGCATGCATGTTTTGTTCTAGAGCTAGTAAAAGTAGTGACTTGCATACTACTTACTGTCTGCATCCATAAGCTGCATCAAAAGCTGGCAAATGGAGGGGAGGCTTGGTGGTCTCGTGCTGCTGGCGTGTGCGGTCCAGAGCTTGTTTTTTGGGGGGCAGCGGGATGCAACGTGCCATTGTACAATACACCTACGTATGTGTGTTGCGTGGCTGGGCGCGCGGAAGATGGGGGCCGAGTATGGGCATGGGTGCAAGGCGGGATGCAAGGATGCGAGCATGGTATGTTTGGAGCTATGCTAGTATGTATGGGCGCAGGTATTTACGGATTAGGTGAGGGTAGTGTGATGCAGCGTTCTTACTTGCGGTGTTGGTTACGGAATTGGGCTGGTTGGTAGGATTCCCTGGATTTGGGGGAGAGGGGGGCCGAAGAACCCAGAATACTACGCGTAATCCGCGTCAGGTATTTTGGTGTACGTATCTTATTTTGAACTCCTCATGGTTAATAGGGTATGCCCGACTATAATAGGTTGGTTTCAAAAATAGGCAGGCAGAAAAGGGGGGGAACGGTTTATCACTTCCCCCCCCCCCTCCCCCTCTGGATTACACAACAGAGATAGTAATGTGGGCGTAGGACGTTATTCCGGACTTTGCTTCGGAGTCCTCACACGAGCATTTCTTGCGACGAGGTCGGTCCCGTGTCAAGGGCGTAGACTAGCCGACACGTGGGGTTTTTTGGCGTCCCGTTAATGAGGGTGGTTGGGTCTCTGGCGCGGCTACGCGTGTCCGTGGCGTTGGGTAAGTAGTTCGACTCTCCCGCCCGCTACGCGATACGAGGCGATTTAAGGGCCGGCGAATACGAGCACCATTAACGGCGCTGATTATGCTCCGGGGTTCCGCGATTTTATCGATAGTAGAAAGTGTTAGCCTGTTTCTGGATGTGATAACTTGGGGATGACGCGTCGATATCGCTTATTCTGCTTTTCTTCTCTTCGTCTCTCTTCACTCAACCCGCCTTTGTTCTTCTCACGCGTCCTTCCCTTCTTTTGCGGCTTGCTTGCTCTTTGCCTTGGCGGACGTCTTGGTATGCGGGAGCGCCGCGCTGTGGCGGTGACTATGCATGTCGCCAAAGCCGGCGTGGCTTGAGTACGGTTTAATTTGCTTTTGTTCTTTTCCGCTTCACCTCCTATATCTCTCTCTACGTTTCTCCTTTATGCGTATGCAACCATTTTTCCGGGGTTGAATAATTGCGGGAAATAGATAACGTGGAAGACACTGGGGCCGGAGATTGCAAATGAAATCCTCTTGAACATAGCCTTGGAACAATTAGGTGTATTCTGGATACCCCTTGGCGCATTTGAATTTCAATACTTGGTACCCCTGTTTATCGGGACTTGGCCTACTGGGGCTGCCAGGCTGCACTACCCTTTCGCCAATCTAAAGCTTATTTTCTCGCTTCAGTGCATGCTGCAAGTGCTGTGGCTAGTGCTCGTGGAGACAACTGTAGGCTATGTGTTGACCTCGTATTCTCGACGACTGAGTGGGTCGCCGTTACACCTGCGATGTGTATGATCATTGCTGAATAATACGAGGTATTGCTATTAGTATCTACTATTTCAAACCCCGTATTGTACTTCTCAAGAGAGTTAGGATTATGGCTGATGGATCCCGCTCTTGCAACTTAGTCAGAACGTGTCAGTCAGTATGGAGATGCTCGTCTGTATCCACAATGTTCGTTCGAGGAGGAGTAGGAGATGAACAATTCCAAGAAGGACCTCAGATGACGACGTGAAAATGTTTACCTTTTTGAATAAAATGATGATGGAAAGGTCATTTGGTGAACAACTGAAGGCTCAAATTGTAGTCTTGTGCCCAGCCCAGTCTGCAATTCTGGCTCGCAATACGGCGTTATGGGGACATGCCAAAATATTGCGAACCCTGATCCAGATTACAGATCGAGTAATGATGTATTGCAGATACTTGAAAATTCTATTCACTCACCTACTATACAAGATGAAAAGGACTATTTCGTTCCAGTGAAAGCCGATTCACTACCTCACCAAAGCAGCTCAAATTTGAACCGTAAGCAGAACTTTAGCACCGCAGGTTCAATAGGGAATGATGAGTGAAAAAAACACTTTCACCACCCAAAAAACCCGTGAGGCCATATTTGCGCCAATGTATGGAAGTGATTTGGTTTCCCGCGAAGGGAATTGGACGAGTCAGTCTTGCAAGTTTCATCTCGGAAGTGTTCACCCAACCACGGATGGTGAAGCAAGTCCCCACGTTCAGTTGATTCAAATTTGCGTAATGTGAACTTTCCAGCAGTGCACCTGCTATATCTATCAGCACTCTCAACTTCTTCTATCCGGCTCTGCAACTCCATCAACCTGCACTAGCCCGACACACAACTCGTACGACCACCCAAGATGCCTGGCCGCTACGTGCACCCAAATTGGACTCCATATGTCATGCCGGTAGTGGTGGGCCCACTCGTGATAAGCATCGCATATGGCATCTCCATCCTCGCCTACCCACCCGCCACCTCCCTCGCTCGTAAACAATCCATTGTGTATCTCTTCGTACCGTTGTTCTTCGTATTCCGGTATTGCGAATACATCTCTCCCAAAGATGATCACGTCGATACACTTGCCCGAGCATGTCTCATCTGGTTCGCACACATGAGCTACGAAGTGTGCATTTTAGAATTCAAGCCCAATGTGCGTCCTGGCCCGGGTGAAACCAAGGAGCGCATCAAGCAAGCATACAAAGTCTTCTTTGACCGGAGTCATGTTCAGATTGCCGAGCAGCAGCAAAGGCAACTACATGAGCAGCAGGAATATAGCCATCCTACGAGAGCAGTGTACAATATCAACACTGAGCAGAATCAGGGGCAAGACCATGCTGCTATATATAAGAAGACGGACGAAACGGTCAATATCTCAGAGCAAAAGTCGCAATACATCCCACAGGCTAGATATCAACACGGCTACTCGCGTTGGCAATTCGTGTGCTATCACTTGTTCAAAGCACTCCGCTTGTACGCGCAGCAATACGCCTGGGAATACTACGAATACCACGTCTCGCCGTTTCACCGGGACCCCGACTCCTACGTCAAGGAAGACCATATTCACTTCTTCAGTCGACTACCCTCATCGCTGCACTACCGAGAAGTCTACTGGCGGACTGAAGAAGCCTTCAGCTGGAACATGCCTACAAAGTGGCTGTATGAAAGCTACCATAGCATCTTCGCCGCGCTGCATGTTGCCTTGGGCATCGACGGTCCCGAAGAATGGGGCTTGGGTGCCTATGGTAATCTCTCTGCTGCATGGTCGGTGAGACGGTACTGGAGGCACTACTGGCACAACTACATCTACCACTCCTTCAGCGGCCACGTCAAGTGCGTGACTAGGGGCTGGCTCGGCATGCCGCGCAACACTCTCACTCGCTTGCTCGAGAACATGCTCGTCTTCTTCCTTTCGGGCCTCATGCACTCGGCGGTGCGGTGGCAGGTCGCTCCATGGGGGGATATCT